TATGGGCTTTAACATTTATTGCTATACAATTAATGAGACTGTTAAAAAAGCTTATGCTATTTTTCTTTCCTTAGACCTTAGCCTTATTTCATATTAAAAAAATAATAATAATTGTAGGTTAACGCCAAATGACTAGACCAAATAATTTTAATACTCTTCTGTCACTAATTTTTCTTACTTTACATTAGCTCTTACAGGAAAAATATAAAAATCTTGCATTTGATTATTTGCATTTTTAAGTTAAGTAGAAGAAATATCATTTGAAATCAGTATTTTTCATTATATTGCCTATTCACATAACCTTTAAAATTTGGTTAAGGGAGGATCTCCTTTTTTCTGATATTATCTACACTCTGATCCCATCATTTTCACACACACACACACACACACACACACAAAGCCACAGAAAACCACCTTACTTAATTCAAGAAATTATGTACAGCTAAAAGCAATCAATTCCTGATACTCGGTTGGGGCAAGGGAGTCAGAGGACATTCAGAAATGGATAGAAATTTTCCTAGGAAATGTCTTTCCTGAATACAACAACAAAACCTTCCTAGGAGAAAGCTCTGTTGGCCTTTGCTCTTCCCTATTCTTTCCACTTGAAACTGAAATGACATCTGAAGGTGCAATAGCCCTTGGGACCACTAGTAGGGAAGACAAATGTTGAAGATGGCAGCACAGGAAGACTAGAGGCATCTCAGGACTCCAGGAGAGTCTCTGATGACATTCTGGAGCAGCTGGACCAGCCTGACTGCCTGCTCTGAACGTACTGTTACAGGTGAAAATAAAGCTCCAAGTGTTGAAGTCACTGCTGATTGGATTTTCTACTATTTGCAATCAAATGCACGCCTAATTCACACAATCTTATTTAGGAGGAAACATTGCAAATATAAAGCAAGCTTTCTGATTGAAAGTTATTCTGATTCAAAATTATTTCATTAGGGTATGCCTTATAATAAAATACTAACTATTTTTATCCACCTTGTTTTTAAAAACCAATTTATATAGTGCATATCACTCTGGATATATAGAGGGTTAGTCCCCACTCCTTTCTTCTCATGGATGATGAGAAGTCACAATAATTAATCTTTTTTGTCAGTCATTATAGGCCAATATACTGTTTCACAGATTATGGTTTATAAAAGCATTAAGCTACGGAAAAATACTTTAAAAAATATGGTATAACAGAATGAAAAAAAAAAAAAGGCCTAAGTCAATTCTGAGTTAAATAAGCTGCTAATAAAATAAGAACTCAGAGAGATATTCTGAATGTTGGACACTATATTTAGGTTCACGGACCAGTTCTAAAGGAATTTAATTAAATGACCATGACTTAGTCAAAGGAAAAGCCCTTACTCTCGTTAGCACTCTATGATATTTTATAGCATTTAATTATTATTCAATTAAAGGACAGGTGAAATTCTTCTATGTCTGGCTGGCAAAGGTAATTGTAAAAACTCTAAATTTTGCCTGGAATCCTTCCTGGTGTAAATAAATATAATTTTGGGGGCACCTGGTTGGCTCAGTGGGTTAAAGCCTCTGCCTTCGGCTTAGGTCATGATCCCAGGGTCCTGGGATCGAGCCCCGCATCAGGCTCTTTGTTCGGCAGGGAGCCTGCCTCCCCGCTCTCTCTCTGCCTGCCTCTCTGCCTATGTGTGATCTCTCTCTCTGTCAAATAAATAAATAAAATCTTTAATAAATAAATAAATATAATTTTCAACTCATTCTAGTCATGCAAACCTGCACTTGTCCATTAAAAATCTGCTGCAGTTGAGGAAGCCTTCATTTCTGGTACTTATCAATAAAACGGCATTGTAATTCACATAAGGGCCCATCTTTGGTCAACAGTTTTAGAGAACTAATAATATTGGTATATATTATGTATGTTAATTCCAAAAATGTTTTCAATTAAGACCTATTATTAATGTTTTTGATGATATCGATAACATTTAATAATTTTATTGGGTGACCCTTAAGTACTAGGTAATATACTAAGCACACTCACTATAGTATCTTAATCTCCACCCCCAAAAAGAGAAAGAAATAATTTCTACCTGCTTTTTTACAAATGAAGAGACCAAAGAAAGGGAAATTAATCAGCTTGCCCAGAATCATGTAAATACATGGTGTATAGACTCTAAAACCACACTATCTGACTCTGAAGTTTATACCTGTAGTCACTGTGTACACTTATTCTCTCAAACTCAATACCCAATCTCCTCTAACAGCTGACATATTTTAAAAACAGCAAGTTGATAACATGCAACACCTTCTTCTATAGTAAACTGACTCTTCAAATAGTGAATCTTATTACTAAGCATGACAGATTTGTTCCTGTGGTTTCAGGAACGTACCATAAAAATTCCCAGAAAGTGAGGTTAAACATGTGGTAAATGAATAGGGAAGTTTCCTGTAACATCACCAAAGTTTTGAAAATATATGATTTTTTGATATTCCCCTTCTAAACTGACATCAATAAAAAGTGGTCCAGAGAATTATATGGCTTCTCCAACACCAGACCAGAGTGTTTTAAAATACATAAAAGTGAGGGCATAACATGGTAGATAAAAGTAAACCACAAGGCTATTTATATAGAGAATAAACAATGTCAAGTGCATCAGTGGTTTTACTGGCTATAATTAAACCATCATTTAAAAAAATGAGGCCACAATAAATAACCAAGATTGCATGTTTACTAAACATATATACAAGGACACAAAATACTATTGAAATTTTGGTGCAACCAAAAAGGTTAAAAAATTACACCTGAACAAAAATTACATAAATGAAATACTAATAAATTGAAAATGACATGAAAAAGGGATATTTAAGTCATTTTCATTCATCAAAATCATTATATTTTATATATTATGGAACTTAATGATTAAGAATATTAATTCACCTTTGCCTTGCAAATATAAAAAGAATATTATTTATATATTAAAAATAAAAGAATTTACTCAAGAATATTATTGGACTTAGTAAACATAAAATGGCCAGTTAGGAGCAGAGCTGGTTCTTTCTACCACAGTAGCCAGCCATGTAGGTATAAGACTATTCTAAATGCTGTTTTTAAAAGTGCCATGTGTAAACTCCGCACTCCAGAAGTTTTCAATATAACCAAATTCTGAACATGAGAAACTATACAAAAAGATCTATAGTATTCTCTAAACACTGAAAGATACAGCTTTTGAATAAATGTAGTTTATACCCTTTCCAAACATTAATTTTCAGGGTAATCGCCGATCTTTATAGGTAATAACAAATAGTTAATAAAAATGGAAAGTCGAGAGTATTGCCAAGAGCTAGTGAAATAGTTTGACACAGAAAGTTAACTAAATATTTCTAAAGAAAAATATTGTAAACAGAACCAGGAAAATTCGTGTCTTTAAATAGGTGGCACGGGGGTGGTTTGGGGGAGTGAAAAATAGCAGACACAATAAGTTTGAAGATGTTTTCCTATACAGGGCTTAAATTCTGCAATGCATGGTCTATATATCATGTCTTTGAACTCTTAGGATAACTTTGAGTGTAAGTGGAGAGGAGAGGATACGCATTATTACCATTTCCAAAATAAAAGTAAACTTTCAAAGAAAAAAAAATATAACTGCCCAAAACACCCAGTTAGTTGGTGGAGGATGCAAGATATAAAAACTAAAAACAAGTAGAACATAAGTCCCCAAAAGATAATTTTGAAGATAAAACAAAACAAAACAAAAAAAAAATCGTGTGACTAGTGAATGACAGGGCAGGAATGTGATCAAACAAGTAACAACTTGAAGGTTTTGATTTTTGAAAAAAAAAAAAAAAAGAGAGACTATTAGAGGATATTATTAGAGGATATTATTACCAATGAAATTATATTTCTCAAAGGAGATTTTTAAATGTAAGAAAATTATTTTGAAACATGGACCATTAAGCAACAAAAGAATCTCCTATGGGAAACATTAAAAGGCCAGATGAGTCATTAAAAACTCTTCGGAGTCAGATAATACTTCTCCTTGTCTCAGCTCTGCATTAAAATATATATGTAGGTCCCAAAAAAAGTAACATTTTACTTATATTTATAAAGAATGTGAAGTAAAACATTACATGGGTAATGTAACAGTAATATAGAATTTACTTTCACCCATTATACCAGATTTTATTCTCCCAACCAGTTAAGATCCTCATTTTCCAATTTGAAACCAAATTATATAGGGGCTTATCAGAGTTAATGCACAAAAACAAGCAACCTGTCCCTATGGCACATAATTGCTGGCATTATTTCAGAAAATGAGATGAGTCAGAGAAGGAGGCATTTTTCAACAAGTTATGCTCTCTTCTCACTTTTGCTTGCAGAGTGAAAGCCACTGCATTAGCAGGAAATCTGTAACTTAGATTGACCTTGATAATACAGCAGGAAAAAATCCTTCAGCCCTTGGAGAAATGGACTTATTTATACATTTCCCCCCCTAAAACAAGTTGAAATGGATTTGCATCAAAATAGCACAGAATTTGTCTATATTTGGTACCTACTGAATTGTAACTCTTATAACAACACAGATCAAAATAATAATGACGTAACAGCAATAATAACCATAACAATAACTCTTGGTTAACCTTAGCTGTGCTCATCAGAAGACATATATGTACACACACACTGACATTTTGAAATTTCAGATACTCATAGTATCTTTTAATTAGGAATTATCACTAATAGACTAATCTCTGGAATGATAAAATTTGTCGTCTTCAAAGTGTTCATCTAATTTTAATATACATCAAATTTCTGAAATTTTTTTCTTCACAGAGTCATAACATTATTTCTTAAAGAACTCTGAAAGACAAATGGGGCATAATTCAAAACCTCTAGAGCTGCATGTTAAACTATAGAGTATAAATGCATAATTGAATGAGTTCACATATCTTTACAGATTTCTTCTAAAAAATGTTTTGAAATTCCACTTCTAATTTAACACGATTTTTCATATCACTGTGTAGAGGATCTTCAAGAGATGATGTTAAAGACAAATTCATTTTAAATACTAAACTTTTTTAAAAGAATAAATTTGTGCAACAAATTTTGGTTAAAAAAATAATTTAGAATATGTCATCTGATATGTGAAATGTACCTATCACATTGATGTGAAGTGTTTTTAAAAAGCTAAATGAAGTGAGCACAACAATGTTATATACGGTATTATTTATTTTATACATTATAATCTGGAGATCTTAAGCACATCCTTATTGTAGTTTTCACTTATCTGCTCAGAAACCTGTCCTACCTTCTCTTCCATCTGATAAATTGAAGTCCTGACACTCTCGGCCATCCACAACCTTCTCTCAGTATCTTTCTGGCCTTACCTTTTACACACACTTCCTACATCACATGCTTCAGTCCAAATATGAACTTAGAAGCTCTTCTGCTAGGTGGTCCCTGTGTCTTCACACCCCCAAGCCTGTACTCTTTCTTCATAAGTATCTTCTCCTTCATCTTCAGGCATCAAACTTCCTCAAGAGCAAGAGGGAAGTTTACATACTTCAAGTTTTCAACAAATCTTTCATCATAATACCGCCAAGAGTGGATGCTTCTTCAAATTTCCTTAAGCAACAGATTCCCACCTCTCCTCTGAATTACTGCAGTAGCACCCTGACTGTTTAACCATTTTTTGTTTTGCCTCATTTACTACTTTCTCCATGGTTAGCCAGAGTGATTGTTTTTCCTAAAACACAATTGTGATCATGTCACTTTCCTGCTTAAAAGCCATCTGTGGCTCCCAGTTACTCATAACAATTAAGTGCAAACACATACATGACTTAAAGGCACTGCATTTTCCAGCCTTCACTTTTCTATTACCATCATCTAAAACCCCTTTTCCCATTACTCCATATGTACGCTGTCTTTAGCCATATGACTATTACTCAGAACCTAAAACATAGCAAGTTTTCTCTTTCCCTTATTGTATTTGTCTAAAAAAGGATTTGGCAATGCTGTTCAAGATCAGACAAATGTATAAGGCATAAATCTCTTGATTGCCTTTCCCCTCTGCTCAGCTAGGCAACTAGCTGATCTGATCTAAAACTTCCACCCTAGTAATAGAAAATCCTTGACATGTCTTAACAAAATATAGTCTCCATCATTATAAACTATGTTAAATTAGAGAAACCAGAAATGCATTTAAAAAACTGAATTATTGTTAGTAAGAACACCAGAATAAGAGTCAAACATAAAAGCATATTCCAGACTGTTCCACCAAATGCTTCTGAAAAGATAAGCAAGTTGTTTTACTTCATTGAATCATGCTTTCCATTTCCCTAAAATTTTAACTAGATTATCACTGAGAAGAATTTTATCTCTATAATTCTATCATTTCAATTCTACTATTCAATTGTATGACAGTTGTTTCAAAAATCATGAATGTATCTCTTTTCTCCCCCTCAACATTGTCTGGTTCTGATGATATTATGATTTCCAGTATAAAGGAAGAAATATGCTTCTTCAAAGCTAAAAGTAGCATATTAGATTTTCCCAGTGTATCCAAACCAGAAAAGACATCAAATCAAGCACATATAGTTAAATGACTAATTCTAATAAGAAATAATATTTAACTGGTATCTGTACTACTGGTCTAGTAGAACTTGAAGATAGGAGGGCACTCTATAAAGGTTCAGTACCCTTCTATAGTACATTTTAAACACGTTTAAAGATAAGCAAAATTCAGCTTGGCTAGACTGAATTTAAACATATTCAATACCTGAATTAAAAACTAAAGACCATCAGTATATTGCATAGAATGGACATAAAAAGTTCTGTACCAAAAATCTGTCCCCCATTTTAGCAAGTTAGCCTAAAAAACGTAAGACACCTAAACTTTATCATAAAGGACTAATGTGAAGCATTACCAGTCTAAAATTTACAGGCTATAACATATTAAAATCTTAACTACATGAAAAGAAAAGCCATGTATGTATAAGAAAGATTTGCATTTCATGTATAAAAATGCAAAATGGAAAGTAATGAAGCATATTTGAGAAAAGGCCACTGGGAGAAATGTAGAGCAAAGCAAAACCAGGAAGAAACAGATAACACATGTGAAGACATTTTTGGAACCGATAATGCTAATCTGAATAAATACACATATACAAAAAGGCTACATCATTTTCTTTCTACATCCTCTAAGTAGTGCTGCCAAATATGGAAGGATTGGAGCCATTTCTGGGGATCTGCTGAATCAGGAGCATGAGTCAGAAAGTAAACCCTCAGCACAGAGAAAGTACTTAAAAGAAAAGAAAAAAACAAAAAAAAAACAAACAAAAAAAACCGTTGAGAGCTCATACACAAATAGACAGACATTCAGTTCATAAGGTCCAAACCTTCTCTAGTCATCAAAGCACCAGGCACTCTTCCCTTCCCAAACTTACCCCATCTGGAAGAAATCTGCCTTCCCAGGAATCCAGATTACACCTGTATCTAAATGTTGAGGTACAGCACAGAGTTGGTCCTGCATGTGACTAAAGATGGCTCTGAAAACTAATGGCAGGACATTTTTGATCTTAAATGACAAGAAATCTAAACTAAAAATAAAATTAAACAAAATAAAATAAAGGGCCTAAATTATATTAAAACTTAATTTAGAGACATACAAAAAATTGTTTGACAGTAATTTAAGGGAGACTAAGATGCTCTTTCTCCAAAAGCCTTTAAGATTTAATTATCTCTCTGAAATGGTCCAGACGTCACTGTTCTCTGAACTAGGCAGCAAGAATGGATCATGAGCTATTCTCAGGCTTATGAGTATATTTTTGGCACAGGAGGTTCAGCAAATACATCCCATACATAATCAACACAATTAAGGTAATGCTCCAAGGATAAGTCACCTTTGAACAACAGAAAAAAATATTTTCCTCCTTACTCCTCTGCCCCAGACAGGACCTTCTCAATTTCATGATGGCACCCTGTTATCATCATTAATACATATTAAAATACCATCGTTTATACAATAACTCTATATAATGTTTATCTCATTCAACATATTTTTTCAACAGCAACAATGACTTTCTATTTGAATTTCAGTTCTAACCTCTCCTGAGCTAAATGGGCCAATGATCTTGGCCCGATCTTGGCCAAGGATCCATAGGCCCAGATAGAGCCTACCACATAGAATTCACAAAGTCATAACTAATTGAAACAAAGCAATGTCACATTGTGCCTATGATCCTGATTTGTCAAAATAAACTCAGTCTATCTGGATCTCAAGTCTTATCCACTCATTATCACTTTTTATTTAAAAACATATTTACATTTATATTTAATCTCTGCAATCTCTACCAAAGCTATCCCAGAAAACTCTCAGCAGTTTAGCTTTAATGTCTAAGAGCCTTTGTTAGTCTTAGTATACAGTTGTGAGACTACTCTTTTGGACTTTACAGTAAGCATAAAGATATTCTCTCCTAGGAAACAATAAATAACCACAGACAGTGATCTGGTCTAATGCATGTGTTGCAACTTCAGTGATCGGAATTCTCTCCATCAGCAAGTGGCCCTAACATCCTTGCCTGGCGTTTATATTACATCTTCACACAATGTTCCACAATAGCTATCACATCTTGTTCTTGCTTATGATGATGAATAGCAATGCATTTTAATTCATACTTCTGATTTTCACTGCTTTTCTACCCATATTAATTTGCATTTGGCTACACTGATCACAGTCTGAATTGACACAAAGCTTCATCTCTGAAGACTTCAGAAATTTCAAGAGCTAAGTTCTCTTTCATTTGTATAACATGTCAGTGTGGTAGATTAGGCCATGACAAGGTAGTTGAGTAGTTAATTCAGTAGCTCTAAGTGGCTTTCCTGGTTGCTGGATTGATGCATTCTCAAACTGCAGTGTTCTTAATAAGAATCACCTGGGTGCTTATTAAAAATGCAGATTTCCTGAGCCACAAACACCAGACATTTTAACACTGTAAATGTAGGTAAAAGCCCAGAAGTCAGTATTTTAATAGGTATACCAGTATACCATGGGATTTCAACATACATAGTCCCAAAACTGGGACGCCTGGGTGGCTCAGTTGGTTGGACGACTGCTTTCGGCTCAGGTCATGATCTCGGAGTCCCGGGATCGAGTCCCGCATAGTCCCAAAACTTCACTGAAAAAATCTCTGAGAAGGAGTTAATGTTTAAACTGTGAAATTCCTTGTCATCGGACTATACTGCATCTTACCCAAAACTGTTCTACCCAATTACAATTCTCCTATATCTACATTTAACAATTAGCTAGATTATCTATAAAGTTTGATGACTTATTTTATTCATATCAGCCATAGGTCAGAGTGTCACAAAATTTGGTCTTACCCTCCCTAGCCCACCCTACCCCAGTAATTGACCCAGACCAACCGCCTGCAAAGCAAATGAGAAACTTCCATCCTAAGATGCTAGCATTGTATTAATTAAATCCCCTATAAAATGCAGCAGTGAAGATAATCGAGAAAATAACACATGTGAAAATACTATTTCTAAGTATTTTGGGGACTCCAGTGCTGACAAAGGTGGAATAAGGAAAATGATGGAGTAACTCCAGTCGTGAGTCTGAAAAGACCTAATCCACTATTATTAAAATAAACTTCTCAATTAAATTGAGGCAGGCATTTAGGAAGGCTTAACTAACATTCCTGACTATTAAGTAGGATGACCAAATACTCCATATTGCTTAGGACTCCTGGTTTTATTTGTTTTTATCTTTTTTTTAAGGTTTTATTTATTTATTTGTCGGAGAGAGAGAGAGAGCACACATGCAGGGGGAGCAGCGGGCAGAGAAAGAGGTAGAAGCAGGCTACCCACTGAGCAAGGAGCCTGATGCGGAACTTGATCCCAAGACCCTAGGATCATGACCTGAGCCAAAAGCAGATGCTTAACTGACTGAGCCACCCCGGCATCCCAAGAGTCCTGGTTTTAGCACTGAAAGACCCATACCTCATAAAGCTTTCAACTGGTTGAGTTGGCTGGCCACCCTATTTAATGCTTC